TTCTAAGAAGTTTGTTAAATAGTGCTGCAGATTCAGGAAGAGTCTTTTTGTAGGTCCTACTAATACTGCCTCCAAATGTCTAAAATATAAATGTATTGCTCCTTGACTTAGGTTTTAAAAACATAAAAAAAATCAGATTTAGAATCTGGAGAGTGCTGTCAATCAAACCAGAACAGCTTGGATATCCAGACAGGTTAAATTTAGGTAACTAAATTTTGAGTTCTCTTACCTTTTAATAAGACACTTCCATGTTCAAGACTGATTCATCCTGAGTAAGAATTGTTATATTCTTTACCTGTTTTCAGCAGTTCTGAGAGTACGGGAAATTAAGAAAGAGTGATCCCAAGCACAACTCACCAGCCATCAGAGGATAATTGAAGTATTCTGCTGCAGGGTCTAGGTTAACAACTTGCACAGAGCGGTTTATGGCTGCACAATGCTGGACCATGGTGGAACAGTAAGTGCTCTGCAATTGAAATAGAAACCTTAGTACGCAGCTGAAAGTACCTAAAAGGTGTTGCAATTTTACAGCTGAAAAGAGAGGCAACAGTCTAACAGTCAAAGCAAGGGGCTGGTAATCAGAACTCCCAGGTTCCATTCCTAACTCTGCCTGACTTGCTGCATATGTTGGAAAGTTACTTCCCCTTTATGCCTCAGTTTTCCTGACTGTGAAATGGGGCTAACGCCACCTCTGTACAGGACCTTCCAATCCTCAAATAAAAGGAGTGATGCAAGTGCAATGCAAAGGGTTATTTGTAGGTTACTTACAAGGACTATTTTCGCTGAAGAGTCACCACCTCTTTACATCATTTCAAATTGCAATAATCTCCAACAATAGCACATGGCAACTTCCACTGAATAGCTTTTAGGCTGGGGCTGCAGCTACCTGCGCCCATAAACCTTCATAACCCCTCCAGTTACCCTATGCACCCCAATACCCCATAACCCCAATTACTCCCATACCCCTCAGTCACTCCACTCTCCTGTTGCCCCCATTACCCCCATGCCCCTCAATTACCCACATTACCCAAACCCCGTTACCCCCAATTACCCCTACCCCCCATTACCCCAACTACCCGTTACCCCCACACTCCCCAGTTACACCCCAAATACCCCACCAGTACAAGGCAGGGAGGGGCCGGTCTCACCTTCCCACTGCCCGCCGGGCCCATGACCAGCTGAGCGAAGCGAGGCATGGCTGCCTGCTCCGTTCCCCCAACCCAGCGCAACACAGAGACAGCGACCGAGTGGCAGGAACTGGCTCCTCCGCGATCCCGTAGCGTGGCGGACACACTCTACACACACACACACACACACACACGCAGTTCCTCGGATACGGAGACTCGCAGGGCTCAAGCTTCCTGTAGGGGCTGCAATCGCTCTGCTCAGCCCAGTTCGCCCCTGCTGAACGGATACCTTTGCTGGCAGAGCGGGGTAGTTTGGTGAAATAGACAAGGTCCTTACGGCTGTTGGCAGAGCCAGCTTTAGCTTCTGGGAGCTCCTGGGTCCCCGGCCTGTGCTCAGCCCAGTGGGTCACAGGTTTGTTCAGCAAATGCCAGTGTAAACTGACTGCACAGCACCGTGTGCGAGACTGTACATCCCCTGACGGGGGGTCTTGAACATCTAGAGCCAAGGGCCGCCCCCGTGGGATAGAGACCAGGGGATTTCGCCAGGTTCCTTCTATCAATACATCACTAAGTGGTGCCAGTAACTGTGTTATATTAGCGGGGGGATTTTAATGTAGAGAATGGGCCAAATCCCATGGGCTGAGTCTCATTGGCTTCAGCGGGACTGCTCATGCGAGTTAGGCGAGTAGGATTTGGCTCTATGTTTTGCCTTGCTCTGATGAGTTTCTGATACATCCTTTGGACAGCTCTCCATACATGTCTTATATATACAGACTTGGGACCCAATCCCACAAGCCTTTACTCATCTAAGTAGTTTGTACAATGAGGCGACTTGCCTGAGTAAGGAATATTCATGTGAGTAAAGATTTATAAGATCAGCCCCCCTAAAATAGACACCTTGATTAGGAAGATCCTTATAGCCTCCTTTGTTCCCATTGACAATTCTGCTGGGAGCTGGGTCTGCCATCTACCGCCCTCCGTTTAGCTCACATGCGCACTTGCAATCTAGTACCCCCAAGTGTTCTTATCTCAAAGAGTCTGCTGCATGGATTATACGGAGATCAGTCTTTCTTGCTGGGGACCCTGAGCATATTTAAAGAAGATGAAAAAGAAGTTCGCTTTCACTGAAGCAGTAGCCTCCAGTGCATCCAAGTGCAGCTTGCACGAGCACAGCAACCAGGTGAAGTTGCTATAAGATGCTGTAGTACAGGGGGTGAGGGACCTGAGCTGCTTTGCATTTCTTGCATAGGAAGATGGTATGCTTCTGCAAAACAAAAACATAGAACAGGATTGCATATTTATCAAGAGAATTTGTTGAGCTTCCACAAAGAAATTATTTCTCTTTTAACGGAGATATCAGTGGAGCACATATAAAAAAATCTACTTATTTATTCAGTTTACATGTTAGTATGTCTGTTGTAATAAAGCACTTTAAGCAATAATCACGAATTGCTTATGCCTGTAATTGTTTAGAGAAAGGGTATATGTTATTTCTCAAAATTCCTGTAACTGACTGAATAGCTCTCATGGTATTGGGTTTTACATGAGAGCTGCAGCATTGTACATGAAAATTTAAAAAATAAATATTGTAATAAACTGGCTAAGGTGGATGTATATCCTTTGCCAGATAGAACTGGAATTGCTCAATTGTGTGTCATAGGCCCTATATTACTCATAGCTAATGGAGATCCTGTCTTTAGCTTCATCTGCAAGGTCTTTTGCTTTTGGAGCAGCGGAATCTGGGTTCTATCCCTGCTGCTGCCAAGAAGTTTCAAATGGCCATAGTGTGCAGCATATTCACAGTTTTGGTGGCAAAGTATTTGTAACAATAGTTCATAATCAAAATTAATTAACAATATTTGGTACAAGAATTTAGAAGTTAGAAAGTGAGAGATTGTAACTGTTTTATTGAAATACAAATGGGGAAAAAAAACAACCTTCAGTCCCACCAAGACTCTTTAACTTCTTTTAACTCTCTAAGCCCCAAATGAGGGAGTCGGCCCCTAGCTCAATGAGTAAACTGTGTATCTGAACCATATTGTATGTGTTTGATTTATGGACCAATCCTGAAAGCCCACTGCACTAGGAACTCCCACTGAAGTCAATGGGACTTCCTGACATAGATAGCTTGGAGGATCAGCCCCTCAGCTTATAAGCTCTATGGAGCAGGGATCATATTTTTCTCTTGGTACAATTATTATACTTTGAGGACCACATCCTCAGCTGGTGTTAATCAGAGTTGCTCAATTGCAGTCTATAGAACTACATGGATTTACACCTGCTTACATCTGGCCCTACATGTTTATTGTACCAGGCTCATTTTCACATCTAGTGGGCAGAAGTTTAATGGTCATCAAGAATGCTATGGCTATGACTCCCGAGGGCGTTTCTGAACTTTGAGCGAATCAGGCAAATGGAAATGGGGAAAGTAGAAAACAGCAAGCACCAGTCAATGTGACTTTTATATCTGTTCTACCTTTTATATTCTTATCAAACTACCAGGAATTAAAATGCTGTTATTTATGTTTCTATTTCTAACATCAGCTGGGTATACTATTACAAGGTACTAAACTGTACTGATAAGTGCTACACATTGAACAGATGATCAGCATCATTAAGGGTCAGATTGTGAACTCCTTACTGACACTGGTGAGTAGTTACTCACATAAGCAGTCCTACTGAAATCGGTGGAATTATTTGCATGAGTAACTGCTTACCAGTCACAGTAAGAGGTTCACAATCTGTTGCTAAAGTAGATCCAGGAGGATTGTGTACCCCTGGGGTACATCAACTCATCTAGATATTTGCCTAGTTTTACAACAGGCTACATAAAAAGCACTAGCTTGGACCTTAAAAGAGTGAATATTGCAAGATGAGATAAAACTGAGTTAGCAATGCTGGTTTAAATACACCAAGCAAGCTTACCTCTGTCCCTTATCGCCCCCCCCCCCCGCGCCACATGCTGTACATCTCTCCCATAAAATAGAGTCAGAGATATACCTTAGTACAGTGGTTTTCAAACTTTCTTTCTGGAGACCCAGTTGAAGTAAATTGTTGATGCTCATGACCCAACGGAGCTGGGGATGAGGGGCTTGGGGTGTGGGAAGGGCTCCGGGCTGGGGCAGGAGGTTGGGGTGCAGGAGGGGGTCAGGGGTCTGGGCTGGAGGTGCAGGCTGTGGGGTGGGGATGAGGGCTTTGGGGTGCAGGAGGGGGCTCTGGGGTAGGGGATTGGGGTGCAGGCTTTCCTGCAGCGGCTCCCAGTCAGTGGCGCAGCGGGGGTGCTAAGGCAGGTTTCCTGCCTGTCCCTGCACTGCGGACCGCGCTGCACCCCGTAAGTGGCCAGTAGCAGGTCTGGCTCCTAGGCGGGAGGCATGCAAGCGGCTCCACGCAGCTCTCACCTGCTTTGTGAAGTGTATTGAGACCTGTGGACAAAAAGTGCCAGAGAGGAGTTTTTGTATATTGTTTACTATGGCAACACTCTGGTTGACTTTGAAAAGTCTGAGTGGGTCAGTCTGTAGTTATCCACACTCACAAGGGAACAGAGATCACAGATTTGCTGATCCTGTAGGGTGCTAGATCCCACTCTTACCAAGCTGGGGGCACAGCACACATCCCTTCTCCCGCCTTGCGGTGCCAATAGACCCAGTACCGAGAGAAGCGCCCCCTGCTGACTCCCTCTGGTATCAACAACTGTCTCCCTTCCAGGCGCCGAACCTAAAGAATGCACCTTAGCTTCCTAGCACGTCCCCGCTCTCAGTTCACTCTACGGCGGCCCGAGTAGCTCAGTACTTTCCCATAGCGAGCGTCTCATCCTCACGTCGTCCCCTCCAAAACCAGGCTCCTCCCTTCCCTAACGTCACTCAGAGCGAAGCTCGGCTGCTCCTCTCCCTCGAGCTCTCGCGATAAGGCGGCGGCGCTCCGGGACGTTCTCGCGGTGCTGGTCGGGAAGCTGCATGTGCTGTTGGGGTCGGAGGCAGCAGCAGGAGGAGCCGCCCCCTCCCCCCGAGACTGCGGCGTGAGGGGCCAGCCGGGTAATGAGCCCTGCGAGGCGCGGGGGCTCCCCGCGGGGACCCTTCCCCCAGCCTGCTCCGCACCTCTTCCCACCCCGCCCAATATCCGGCACCCCTCAGTCCGCCTGACCCCCCCCGGCACCCTTCGCCGTCAGACACCCCTCACCTCTCTGAC